CTGATGTGGTTCAAGAAATGAGCTACGAATCGGAAAGAGAAGATTTAAACGAGAATCTTACAGTTGTGAAGCTTGCGGAGAAGATTGACGATCTTGTACAGAGAGTAGTTTCATTGGAGACCAATGCTTCGTCTCATACTGCATTGGTGAAGACACTAAGATCAGAGACAGATGAATTGCATGAGCACATCCATGGCCTAGAGGAGGACAAGGCATCTCTTATTTCTGATTCCACAGATATGAAAAAGAGGATAACCGTGCTTGAAGACGAGCTGCGTAAAGTGAGAAAGCTATTCCAAAAGGTGGAAGATCAGAACAAGAGTCTACAGAAGCAATTCAAGGAAGCCAATTGGACTGCTGATGATTTATCTGGCAAGTTACAAGATGTGAAGATGGATGAAGATGTCGAAGGAGCCGGAATTTTCCAGGAATTGCCAGTTGGTTCAGGATCAGAAGATTCTCGTGATGATTTGAAGTCGATCTCGAAGGAGACAAAAATGAGGAGTAGTGTCGAGGAAATGAAGAAAGATGCAGTTGTAATTAAAGAGAGTGAAGATGGTGAAGAAGCTCATGAAGATCAGAAAACAGAGATTAAAGATTCTTTTGCTCTATCAGAAACAGCAAGCACTTGTTTCGGAACAGAAGCAGAAGATCTGGTGACAGAAGACGAAGATGAAGAGACACCAAACTGGAGGCAGTTGTTACCAGATGGCATGGAGGATAGAGAGAAGGTTCTGTTGGATGAATACACATCAGTACTAAGGGACTATAGAGAAGTGAAGAGAAAATTAGGTGAAGTCGAGAAGAAGAACCGAGAAGGATTCTTCGAGCTAGCATTACAGTTGAGAGAACTCAAGAATGCTGTTGCTTATAAAGATATAGAGATTCAGTCGTTACGCGGAAAGCTCGACACGCCCGGGAAAGATTTTCCACATCAAGTAGATGGAAATAACCAATTAGAACATGATCAAGGACAGCGCGAAAGTGTGAGCACTTCTCCAACTTCAAACTTTTCGGTTTCCACTACGCCGCATCATCAAGGAGGAGACATGATGAAGAGAACACCAGGAAGGACAAAGTCAAATGAGGTTAGGGTGAAATTTGCAGATGTTGATGATAGCCCAAGAACGAAGACCTCAACTGTGGAAGACAAAGTGCGTGCAGATATTGATGCGGTGTTGGAAGAGAATCTGGAGTTCTGGTTAAGATTTAGCACATCGGTACATCAGATTCAGAAGTACCAGACAACAGTTCAGGATCTGAAATCAGAGCTATCGAAACTGAGGATCGAAAGCAAGCAACAACAGGAATCTCCAAGAAGTAGTAATAATTCTGTAGTTGCATCAGAGGCAAAGCCAATCTATAGACACCTTAGAGAGATTCGAACAGAGCTACAGTTATGGCTAGAGAACAGTGCAGTTCTTAAAGACGAACTCCAGGGAAGGTATGCATCGCTAGCTAATATCCAAGAAGAAATCGCAAGAGCCACGGCCCACTCGGGTGGCAGTAAAGTAAGTGATTCAGAGATTAGTGGTTACCAAGCTGCAAAGTTCCATGGTGAGATACTTAACATGAAACAGGAGAACAAAAGGGTCTCGACTGAGCTTCAATCTGGTCTTGATCGTGTAAGAGCATTGAAAACTGAAGTGGAGAGGATTCTGAATAAACTGGAAGAGGATCTTGGGATCTCAAGTGCAACAGAAGCAAGAGTAACTCCGAGCAAGAGCTCTTCAAGTGGAAGACCGAGGATTCCATTACGGTCATTCTTGTTCGGTGTCAAGTTAAAGAAGCACAGTAAACAGAAGCAATCTGCATCATCTCTCTTCTCTTGTGTCAGTCCATCTCCAGCAATGCAAAAACAGTCTAGTTACATTAGGCAACCAGGAAAGCTCCCTGAATAACCAATCATCTCTTTGTTATTTGTCTTTCTCAGTCCTTGTTTTCTAGCTTTTCTGTTTTGTTCCAAAACTATTTTTGCTTACCTGTGGAAGACCAATGAGAAGCAAAATCAAACTGTATCTTCTTGCTTTCACTGTTTTCTAGTCTTTGAAGATCTCTTTTGGAAATTTAGAAGTATAATTAAATTCATATTACTGATTAGTAGTAAGTAGTAAGTACTACTACTGTACATCGTCATATTCTTTGAGTCCTAAGAAAAAACATTAATGAAAACGCCAAAACAATGCAGCAAACATTTCTGCAAATGAACTACAACCCCTTCAGCCCGGTCACGGCTGCAACACCTGGAATTTTTCCTTTCCTTGCTTCATCTTTGGGTTTTGATTCAGCCTCAGCTCCAACAAGAGGTGAAGCCGTCGTACTACTCTCTTTTACAGGTGGCTTAGCCAACAAACTTTTATCGGTGTGGCTGCCAACTTCAGTCTGAAGTACTTGGTTTTTCCTAGGCACAATACTAGGAGGAGTCTCCACTTTTGCAGCCACCAGCTTTCCTGTGCTAATCACTGAGTTTGTTGAGACGGTTTCATTTGGCTGATGTGTTGTTGTAACCAAGGGGCTTGCTCCTTTTCCCTGAATTTGCTCTTTCTGTACACCAACAGGCTTGCAAGAGGCGGTCATTGCCGCGCCTACACTTGGCATTACAGTAGCCGCAGGAACTCTCTGTGTGGGGACCAACCTTGACGATGCAAAACCAGAAGGATTTGAATTAATCTGGATTGTAGGTCCTTTGGACAGAGGAGCCATAGGTGAAGGCTTATTAGAAGTTGATGAAGATATCACGTGGTTTGGGCTCCCATTAACTGGATGCCTTATATTTAAAGGTCCAACCGCTTGAGTGCTAGTAGCAGCCACAGCAGTACTCTTTACTGGCTCAGCGTTTGGTGCTGATAGAATACCTGACGGACGAGCCAAAGAGGCTGCTGACGCGGTTTTAACAGGCTCAACCTTCGGTGGTGCTATAATACCTGATAAGCGAGGCAACGAGGTTGCGGAAGAGGTTTTAACAGGCTCAGCCTTTGATCCTGATATAATACCTGATGGACGAGCCAAAGAGGCTACTAAAGCGGGTTTTAAAGGCTCAGCATTCGGTGGTGATGATATGCCTGATAGGCGAGGCAAAGAGGCTACCACAGCGGGTTTTACAGGCTCAGCAGTCAGTGCTGATGATAATCCTGATGGACGAGGCAAAGAGGCTGCCGAAGCGGTTTTCACAGGCTCAGCAGTCAGTGCTGATGATATACCTGATGGACGAGGCAAAGAGGCTGCCGAAGCGGTTTTCACAGGCTCAGCAGCATTCAGTGCTGATGATATACCTGATGGACGAGGTAAAGCACCTGCCGAAGCGGTTTTTACAGGCTCAGCAGTCAGTGCTGATGATATACCTGATGGACGAGGCAAAGAGGCTGTCAAAGCGGTTTTTACAGGCTCTGCATTCAGTGCTGAAGACATACCGGAAGGACAAGGCAAAGAGACTGCAGAAGTAGTTTTTATGGCTTCAACCTTTGGCACTGACGCAGGAATAGCATTCTTTCCTGGTTCAACCTTTGGCACAAATGTAGCAGTTCCCAGACCAGACATACAGGCTGCAGCAGCTACTGAATTAGCTGTTACCATTAGTTCCGCTCTCGAAGTAGAATTTGCTGTTGTTTTCTTTGCAGTAACTCGGGATTTTGTAGTTGGAACGGATGTTGCTACCCCGGGCAATCCTTGAACTGTTGGCTGAGACTGTTGTTGACCTTGCAATGAACTACTACTGTTGGCACCGTTGGGCTGTGCTCCTGTGATGCTACCAGATGAAAGCATTGGAGGTATACCTAAACAAACACATTGAAATTGACAAATCTAAGTGAGAGAAGCATAGGGACTGAAAAAATAAAACCTTGCAAGAAAAAACAATTTACACAAGTATAACATGAACTAATTAGTAGAACAAACTGGAAAGGATCTTCTCTTACTCGTACCTGCAAGTTTTTTTGGGGGTGCCCGATTTCCCACCGCTCTATGTAACGCATTATTAGCTGCCAATTGTGCTTCTGTTCTCTGTAGGCCAGATTGGGTAGAAGAGTTTGGAATATCACCTCTTCTCCTTATAGCACCCCACCGCTGCATGTAAGAAAATTCAGTTTGTTATCACCAGCCTGGTGAAAGTAATATGCTACATTAAAAAAGCCTCACAGATGCCCATCCAAAGTTGTCCCCGAAAATCTTTCTTCACAGTACTTACAGAGTCTACCTGGAACCATAGGAAATAATCTGAAGAGAAAATATCCACAAAAATGGACACAGAAATCATTGCATTCGGCCGCTGCCTTCTATGCTAGTCAAGATATTATTAATCATATCATTTAGAGATCCGTTGCCGGGATTCGAACCCGGAAAAAAT